TGAGTTATGTAACTAATTGAAATATACTAATTCTGTGATATAAATAAATTCTGGCCCTAAAAGTAACTTATATACTTAACTTAGACCTAAAAAAAGAACCTTTCCAGTTGTGTTTTCCATTGCAGCAGTCACCTTCATATGTGTGTATTGAAATGAGGCCAGATCCATCTGAGATGAGCTGAGGTCTAAACTATACCCTAAATATTGAAGATTTAGTGGGGAGAAAGCATTTGAAATAACTTTAATAATAAGTGTTATCGAGTACACATTGAAATGATATTTTGGATATATTAGATCTAACAAAGCACATCGTTCAAATTAATTTCACCTGTTTCTTATGGTGACTACTGACAAATTTAAATTATATTGTGCTGTGTTGGTGAGGACATAAAGGGAACACTTCTACACTATTGATGGGACTGTACATTGGCATAACCATTATGGGAAATAGTATGGAGTTTCCTTAACAATTTAAAATAGAACAACCATATGATCTATTGGTATCACCTCTCAGCATATATCCAAAGATAAGAAATCAGGATCTAAAAGATTTAAGTGAACCCATATGTTTACTACAGCATTATCCACAATGGCTGAGTTATTGTTATTATTTAACCTTTAAAAATAGAAGGAAATCTTAACATTTGTGACTACATAGTTGAACCTGAATGACATTATATTGAGTAAAATAAACTAGACACAAATAAAAATACTGCATGATCTTGCTTTTACATGGATTCTAAAAGGTTGAACTTGTAAGAACAGAGTGGAACAACAGTTTCCAGATGATGGAAGGTAGGATTAATAGGAAGATGTTGTCCAAATGTACAAGATTCACTTATGAGAAATAAGTAAATTCTGTAGATCTAATGTATAAAATGGTAACTATACTTAATAATACTTTAAAGTATTCTTGAAAATTTCAAGGCCTGTAGATCTTACAGGGAGTGTTCTCATGTCACAAATAGTAATTTAGTAGTAGTAAGTAGTGAAGTGAGTGGAAGGAAACTTTGGGAGGATTTGAATTTAATTACAGCCTTGGTGGTGATGTATTACATCTATGCCCAAACTCATTGAAGTACATGTATAATGTATGCATTGGTTTGTTTGTGGTTGTCCCAAAAGTTATCCCATTCTCCCACTCCCTTGCACTTTACTGTTCTTTTTTTGTTTTTTCTAACTGGATAATTTACAGTGTTCTGTCTTTAAATTTACTTATTCTTTCTTCTGATTAAAGAAGTTTGAAGTTGAAACTATTGAACTTTTTAGTTTAGACATTGCTTTCTTCAGCTCCAGCATTTCTGGGTTTGTTTTGTTTTGTTTTATTTACTGGTTTCTACTTTTAATATCTTTAGAATCAATTATTAGTGTTACAAAGTTTTAGAAGAGTCATATTGTCTTGCTTTTTCATGTTTCCATGTTGAAATTTTCCCATCGGTTTTGATTGATAAATCTTCGACTTTTGTATGAAGCCTTCTGAGTCAGCAGACTTCTCTTGATGATAGCCCTTAGATACTAGTTTGTTGTGTACTGTTGAATTTAATGTCCATTGGACTTCATGATATAGTTTGCCTGTGGCATCTTTGGCTGCTATTAATGGTCTTTGACATAAAGGGTACTGTGTTGGAGCATTAAGGTTTGGTTTTCTTTGTAGGGTATTGAAAAAGTGGAGTCCATTTGGTAGTTAAAGCAAGTGTTATGTAGACAACAGAATACATGGGGTGTACCCTTTGTGTTACTCTTCCAGATCTGATAGGGTATGGCAGTGGCCTATACTGCTTATGTCCCTCATAGGGAAGGTGCCCATAACTTTGTGTTATTCTCCCTCCCATTACTATGGGGATAAACTGCTTAGTAATGGATTTTTGGGTCTGACCTCACTATCCCTACTTGGATAGTGGTTATCATCTGGGCAGTTTTTATCTTCCTTCTTTTTTAATTTGAATATCTACCAAGTTCCAAGAGTAACTTGGTCATGAATGGAATATGGTACAATTTTTCTTAGCTGGTGTGAGAGTGTAGCTCATTCAGTGGCAAAGTACCCAAACATGCTTCACATTTCAGGGCTGATGCCCAGCATGGAATAAAAATATGAAAAGAAGCAATGATGACAATAAAAGCAAACCAGACAGAGAAATAAATAAAAACAATGACAATCACAACATCAACACCACAATCAACAGAAAAGGGGATAAAATATTGTAGAGAACTAAAAAGTTAAAAAAGTAATTTAAAAATTTAATTTATAAAAGACTAAAAGAGTGCTGGTGGCTCATACCCATACCTTACTGTGTGGAGTCTGAGATTGGGAGGATTGTGGTTCCAGGTCACCCTGGGCAAAAATGATTGTGAGACCTTATTTCAATGCAAAGAAGTTGAACATGGTGGCCCAACAACAGCAAGAAGCTTAAAGTAGAATTGTGGTCCAGGCCTGCTTGGGCAAAAAGAGAGACTCTATCTCTAAAACTAACCAGAGCAAAAATGGCTGGAGGTGTGGCTCAAGCAGTAGAGCACCTGCCTAGCAAGCATGAGCCCTGAGTTCAAACTCAAGTATCACCAAAAAAATAAAAAGGAAAAAAGGACAGAAGAAGAAAGATTTAAAGCTTACAAAGAGAAAAGAAAAAGGAGGAAGGAGGTATATGCTAAAAATGGAAAGAATTTAAAAAGGGAAAATAGAAAGAGGAAAAAGGCAGCAAGAAAATAAAAACTAAGTATCAAAAGAGAAGAGCATTCTGGAGGCAGAGGCAGGAAGATTACAGTTTGGGGCCAGTCCAAGCTATATGGAAAGACCCTGTCTTTAAAATAAGAAAAAGGGAGAGAGCGAGAATATAGAAAAAAAAATATGTGCATACATATATACACACAAATCTGTATATACATATATATGTATGGTATGCATATATTTTATACACACACATATATATACATGCAAGTTAAATGTTTCAGTGTACCTCTATAACAGTAGGAGCTAGAAAAGAATGCAAATTTAGTTTGGGTTACTCAGTTTTATAACCCTTTCTGAAAACCCAACTTTTTACCTTAATTTAGCCAAAATAATCCTAAGCAAAATAGCAATGCTGGAGATATCACAATATCTGATATACTACAGAGCCACAGTAACAAAAACAATATGGTATTGGCACAAAAACATACCCAAGACCAAAGGAAAAGACTAGAGGGCCCAGAAGTAAACCCATGCAGCTATAATCATCTGATTCTTGACAAAGGTGGCAAAAACATATATTGGAGAAAAGATAGGTTCTTCAACAAATGGATATCTGCATTTAGAAACTAATATCAGATCCCTATTTCCCACTCTCTACAGAAATCAACTCAAAATGATGAAAGACCTTAAGAGACAGCCTACAGAATGCAGAAAAATTTTGCCATCTTTTTATTCAACAGAGAATCATTATCTAGAATATATGAAGAATTCAAAAAATTAAACACCAACATAACAAATAATCCAGTTAATAAAAGGATAGCTGAACTGAACAGATACTTCTCGGAAGAAGAGCAAACGGCCAATAGATACATGAAAAATGTTATTCTCCACATTCTTAACAGGATTTAGTTTTCATTTTCTTGATGATGGTCATTTTTACTGAGGTGAGATGGAATCACAATGTAATTTTAATTTGCATTTCCCTGATTATTAAAGACATTATTTTTCATAATGTCTACATTAATTAATATTCCCACAATGCACAGGGTTCGTTTCTTTCCCACATCCTTGAAGATACATGCTAACTTTAGGATTTTTTGTTTGTTTTTGTTTATAATAACCATTCCTACAGGGGTTAGGTGACAGCTCATTGTGGTTTTGATTTGCAATCCCCTAATATTTACTGATGCTGAGCATTTTTCCTTATACTCATTTGACTATAAGTCTTCTTTTGAGAAATGTCTATTTGGCTGTATTGCTCATTTTTCTAACATTTAGAACAAGATAAAGATACCCACTTTCACCACTTTTATTTAACATAGTCTTGGAAATCTTAGCCACAGAAATCAGGCAAGAAAAAAAAAGAACATTCAAATAAGAAAATAAGAAGTCAAATTGTCAGATGACACAATCTTACAGATAGAAAATTCTGAAGGTCTACCACAAATCTATTATACCTAATAAACTACTTCAACAATGATGCAGGATGCAAAATCAACATAAAAAAATCAGTAGCATTACTACAGGCCATTGGTAAATTGGTTGAAAAAGGTAGTTTCATCTTTTCTGGTAAGGCATCTTTTTAATATGTATGGCTTAAATAGATTATTTTTCAGCCCCAAAAAGCCAATATGAAGCTTCTTTTTTTATGTAAAACAACATGTTTCATGTCCTTCTATGATGTGCTTATATGGTCTTTCCCTCTAGTAAGATTTTACACCTTGATACATAATCATCCTCTGGGTTCCATTCCTTCAATTAGGGGATAAAAAAAATAATCCTTTCTTGGGTGAGGACAGAATTCGCAGAACAATAATTTCTACCTGTAAAACTTTTCCTTGGGCTAGCAGAATGGCTCAAGTGATAGCGTACCAGTCTAGCAACCATGAGGCCAGGAGTTCAAACCCCAGTTCTACAAAAAACTTTTTTTCTTTTAAGGGCATTTATTGATATATTGTTTTCTGATCTGTGTGTTCTATCAAAACTTTCATTGTGCAAAATGTATCTTTCCATGTCTTCTGATTTTTTTTCGGGTCCTTCAGCAAATTTCAGTTTCAGTTTGTATCAAGTGAGACCTTCCAGTTGGAAAGAAACCATATTAAAACAAACCTAGAGAAAATAGGGCACAACTCCACTGTCCCTTCCACCTTTCTCTTCTCTGGATTCCTAATGAATAAGCATTAAAAACAATGTTCATTAACATTACTCTAATACGTCCTGTCTGTATAAGTAGTTATCAGAATCTTGTTCTAGCCTCCCCCCTCCCCACCACCCTCACGTGGAAGAATGAAAAGTCTTGGAAGTTCTCCCGGGATAACCGTCAACCCCTCTGAAGGGACGTTTGCCTCCTGCTCCAGAAGAAACGCTCTCTGGAGGCCTGGGCTGCAGGCACCACAGCAGCCACGCTGCCTTCCTTTCGGCAGTGGGCTTTTGTGGAGGCGTTGGCAGCACAGTGCCTGGAATCACTAAGGCTGTGGGAGCCGCCCAGGTTGAGCCAAATTCTGTGGAGTGTGGTGAGGAAGGAAGCAGAAAGTGCAGACAAGATGGAAGAGAGGTCTGAGCTCAAGCAGTCCCAAATTATGAAGACTCTCAGTTCTGCAGCCCAGGAGGAAAAGCAGGCCGAGATCACCAAGAGGAAACCCCTGTATCTGACAATGATTCCAGCTGCCATGATGAAGTTTAACAAAGTGCCCAAAACGAAAAATGCCGATGAAGAAGTTAACATTACCATTCCCACGGAAACTGCAGAGCCAGAGGAGCAGAACTTGGAGGAAACCTGTGGCTTGCGCTATGTAGTTATCCCCTACTGCCAGCGTTTTAATGACATTCGCTGCTTCCTGTTTTTTTACTGCATCCTGGTCATGTGTCAAGGTGAGCCTAGGGGCGGTGGTCGGTGTGGGGAGGGACAGTGAGGTGGACACTGGGGTTGTGGACCTGGGCAGGAGTGGGAGGAAAGGTGTGTGGAGGATGGTCTCTGGTGGCCCAGACTGAGGTAGTATTTTCTGACTTCTATTCAAGGTCTGACTCGGATCAAAGCTGTTTAACCCACTCTGCTTCTGTCATTGCCTCACTTCCTCAGGCACCTCACTGACATGGTGCACCCCACACATGGTGGGTGGTATGGCTCTGGCAGCCCAGTAGCCAACTGGAAAGGGGGTGCTGTAGATTCATTTGATTACCAGCTCTTAAGTTCTGGGTTGAATATCGTGGAGATGAAAATAAAGTTGATAGCAGTGTGTGTGGTCACCAGGATGTTTCTTCTCCTGCTTAGGATTTTGTGATGCTCTGGAAAAGCCACTCTCCATCTGGATTTTGTTTCCTCATTTGTGAATTGAGAGAGAGTGGTGAAACCTCAAATACTCTAGATCAGAGGACAAAATTCTAGGGTGTTTGTTGTTGCCTATGCGCTTTGAAGGTGGTGAATTTGAACACATGTAGAGAGAGCATGCATCCTCTACTTGGCGGTAGCTCTCACTGTTCCTATTACATCTAGATTGTTATCCTTTTACTATGGTGGCACTGGAATTTGCCAACCTAATCTTATGCTTTCAAGTCCCAGGTCTAAAAAAGTGTAAGAAAAAGGCAGTATGTGAAAAGAACCATTTGAGAAAACAATAAATAATTACCGGTTTGTCTTGAGATCATCAAAGAAGTTTCTTGGAGGAAGAGGCATGTAAACCCTGCCTGAACAGATTAGGTAGTATTCTGATAGCCAGTGATGTAAGTAAGGTAGTAATTGAGTGAGAAAATGAATGAATGAATGAGCATTCAGAAAGGCTTGTCATAATGGTAAATGACAAATTTCCCTTGATGCTGGTTTTTATCTAAGCACCATACAAGAGTAGATATTATTCATTGAGTCTCCTTAGGCCCTAATACAGTAACTGGAGCAGAGAATACACTCAGTAAACACATACTTGATACATAAACAAATTTATAAAGAAAGGAAAAAAACCCAGATTGTGGTCACATTATTTAAATACCTGAGAGTTTTAAAAGAATACTAAAAGGTATTTACTTTCCACTATGCAAAGGGTGAGAAAAATACTTTAAAAGCATTCTATTATTTAATATAGTGCTATTATTGAGTATCAAGAAGCCATTCATTATTTTGAACAAGTAGTTGTCAGTGAATGGCTTTAGCTCCATCACTTTACCAACTTCATACAGAGTATTAGCTCAGTTTAGGCTGTCTTCTACTCATAAAAAATGGTGTAAATCTTGATGATACATTTTTCAATTAGTCTGATTATTATTTTTAGATGCATTTTAAACAATTTTGAAATTATTTTAAACTTTCAGAAAGGAAGCTTTGGAAATACAAAATATTTCTGGTTGGAGGTGTGGCTCAAGTGGTTGAGTGCTTGCCTAGCAAGCTCAAGGCTCTGAGTTCAAATTCCTAGTTCTGGGTTCTTAAACCCAGTCACCCAGATTCTTGAAATTTTTTTTTAGAATTTTACCACATTTATTCTTACTTTCTTTTTTTCTGGAACATCGAGATTTTTTGGATATTGTTTTCCATTACTACTAACTACAGTAGTCTTTACATATTCATGGGGGAGATGGTCCAAGTTCCCCAGCAGATGCCTGAAACCATGGATATTACTGAAATACATATATATATGTGTATGTGTGTGTGTGTGTGTGTGTGTGTGTGTGTGTGTGTGTTTTCCTATACCTATGATAAAGTTTAACTTGTAAATCAGTCACAGTAAGAGATTAACATTAATGATAAACTAGAACAATTATAACAATATATACAATGAAAGTTATGATGCCCCTCTCAAAAAAATCTCTTATTGTACTGTATTTACCTTTTGTCTTTGTGATATCCAGACAGTTAATCAGATAACTGATATGGGTACACAGTGGCTAAGGCCAGGCATTGATATAGCATGGTTATTCTGGGTTAGTCACATCCTGGGCAGGACAGCACAGAATTACACCATGCTATTCAGAATGGTACACAGTTTAAAATTTATAGATTATTTTTCTTAACATTTTCTGTTCATTATTTTTGGGTCATGGTTGACTAAAATCATGGAAATTAAAAAGTACAGATATGTGAAAATTCTTTGTATTTCCATTGTATCCTTTCTGTAGGTTTAAAATGGTAACACTATTAAATGTCTCAATATTATCTCCTTTTCCTTTTTGACCTCAAATTTGATCTAGGAACATATATTTTGAGAAGCTTTCTTAAATCTGGAACACATCCTTATGCTTTTCTGCAGTTAAATCCTTAAAAATCTTAAAGAATGTGATTCTTTCATTGTATAAGCTGAACTTCATCCTGAGTCCGAAGTTTATTTATTACCAAACCCAAATCATGCTTATCTCCTTCCTTCCTTTCATTCTCTCTTCTCTTCATTTTATTTAGGTATAATTTATGTACAATAAAATTCACCCTTTTAAAGAATATAATTTTATGAGTTTTAATAAATGTATAAAGACATGTATTTATCATCACTACCAAGTCTTAGAATCTTTCCACCACACTAGTGGATTCTTCATGCCCCTTTACAGTCAAGTCCCCCTTCACCTCATCTTCGGCAACAATGTATTTGCTTGTCATTAGAGTTTTGCATTTTCTAGATTTTAATATACAGGGAATCATACAGCCTCTAGTTTTTTTTTCTGGCTTTTTAAATTATCACATTGTTGTTGTGATGCACAGTTGACATGTGCAGGAATTTCAGGTGCTCAGGGTTCTTGAGCCCGCTCTGAGAATGAAAGCACAGGCAGACTCCAGCAACAGAGGTCAGAATGATTTTATTTGTAGAGAAGAGAAGAGAAAGACTACATAGTGGGGAATGCAGGGGGAACCCTGTGGTCCCTAATGGGTAGGGTTGGAGATTGGGTTTTATAGCCTTTTTGCTTTGCCTGAGGGCAGAGATATCTCTCAAGTGCAGACAGAGGTTTCCTGGGAAGGAGAGGTGTCTCCTTGACCACTTATCACCTTTTGGGACCTCCTACAGTCCGTCCTTCAGTTGTACTAGGGGTACATTGTGACATTTACAAAACCTAGATTTTAATAATATGATGTTTTGAGATTAATTAACATTGTGTGTATTAATAATTTGCTCTTTTAAAATTTTGATTAGTGTATCATTGTGTGGAATTACCACACTTAATCCATTCAGTAGTTGATAAAAATCTGTCTTTCCAATTCTTTTGGCTACTATTAATGCTGTCATGAGCAATTGCCTACAGATTTTTGTATATAGATGTTTATGTTTATTTGGGATAGATAACTAGGAGTGAGATTAAGAGGTCATATAATAAGTTTTGTAAGAAGTAGACACTTTCCTTACAAACTGACTATACCACTTGTTTTCTTATCAGTCAACAATATATGTGAGAGTTCCAATTGCTCTGCATCTTTGTTCAATCTTTTTCTTTTTAGTTATTTAATAAGTGTGAAATGGTACCTCATTTTGATTTTAATTTTGATTTATATTCCTTTATTGAGCAATTGTTCTGAAACTCCTTGATATGCTTTTTAGTTATCTGTGTGCCTCCTTTTGTAAAGCATCCGTTTATAAATTGGTATATTTCTCTTCTTATTTTTAAGTGACATGCTCTTTTAATATATTGTGGATACAAACCTTCTGATAAATAAATGTTTACAAATATTTTCTCCCAATCTCTGGCTTTTAATTTTCTTTACTGTTTCATTTTGATGGCAAGAGGGTTCAGGTTTTTTTTTTTTTTTTTTTTTTTTGGTAGTGGGCTTTGAACTCAGAGCCTAACACTTGCTAGAAAGGTGCTCTACCACTTGAGCCACTCCACCCGCCTGAGGGTTCAATTTTGATGAAGTTCTACTCATTAATCTATTTGACCTATAATCCATTCTTTTTGGTTCCTATCAAGGTAACTAGTCTAGTTCAGTGTCATGAATATTTTCTGCCTCATTTTCCTCAAGAAGTTTTATGTTTTAGCCCTAATGTTTAGGTATCTGATCCATCTTTAATAGTTTTGTGTGTGTGTGGAAAGGGACGAGGTACATATCTGTCTATATAGAAAAAAAAGTTTTATTCTAGCATAGTTTATTAGAAATATTGCCTTTTACCCCATTGAATTACCTTCGCACTTTTGCTATAATTCTTTTATCTTTCATAGTCTATTTTAGCCTATCAATTCTGCTTTGTCATACTAATATGTCTGTAATTATAAAATATTATATTTCCTTTTTAAACATAGTCTTATTATATTAGGTGTTATATTTTGAATCTTAAGTGCCCTCCAGAGGTTTTTGTGGTGATGTCTTGCTCTCCATGGTTGCTGTACTGTGAGGTGGGGGAGCTGTAGGGGATGTGACTGAGTTAGAGGTCTTTAGATTTTGAAAGGGATTGTGAGACCCTAACCTTTTTCTCTTTCTTTCTTTCCTCTTCTGTATTTTTCAGTAATAAAGAACTGGTTTCATTTCACTACAAATCCCACCATGTTGTTCTATCTGAACACAGACCTGAAAACAGTTGTACCAACTGATCATGGACTGAAACTCTGAGAGCATGAGCCAGAATAAAGCTTTTCTTTTTATATGTTCATTTTCTCAGGCAGTTGTTATATTAATGGAAAGTTGAATAAAAAAAATGGTACTGAGAAGTTGTGGTCTTTGCCATTAGCATACATGTGATTTGTGGAATGAAGGCAGAATTTGGAAAAGTTTAGAGGTACAGACTAGAGAAAACCTAGAATTCTGTAAGTAGAGCTTAATGAATGATTCTGCCGGGGGCTCAGAAGACTAGAATGCTAATAGGAATGTGGACAGTGAAAGTTATATTGATGAGGTTTCAGATGAAAATAATAAAGCTATTGGGAATAGACTGAACGTTATATTCATGACACTGTGCAAAGAATTTGAGTTC